TAGCTCCGCTGCATCTTGAGTCTCCTGAATTTTATTTCTCCAAGCGCGAGAGCAGTCTCGCCATACGGTAGAATGCACAATAGAATCAAAACCTCGACTTGGTCAACGAACGGTTTTCACGGGCCCTTTTGGGATTGCCTGCCGTGATTCCCAACGTCATGAGCCGGCAGAATTTAAGATCTAGGAGTCGTAAGACGGTGTAATGGTAGATGTCACGAAGTAGTTACCACACAATTAGACATCTTATAAGTATTAAAAAGCTAAAATATGCATTATGAGCCTCTCACTAATAGCTGCAGATTGCCACGGTAGTGTCATGCATTAGCACCTCGGTCAAAGCGTTAACGTTGCCTTCATCATCTATCAGGTCGAAAGTGAAAAATGGGGAGGATGAACGACCTTGTCAAGTGTGGATTGCAGTCGACAAGATGGGTTCTACACAGGTGTGAGTAGTTGTTTCCACGACGGTGCAAGAATATTTTTGGCCTGATAAAGCGGTCCACGTCAGCTATATGTGCAATGATTTTTGATTTAGGCCTCACGATACCATCTCATTTACTGGATTTACCATCACAAGGCACACACGCGTCTTTATCCACAACACTTGTGTTGAAGCTTCACATGAAAGCGAATCTTTGGGTTCATTCTGTTTACAGGCGCTAATCGCGCATTGCAGAAAATAAACCGTCACATTTCTCGACATTCGATCAGGCGTTCGTATTGCGACCGCCACGATGGATTAGAGTAACGAAGAGTCGCTCGATCGACTCGAGGAGAGTAGGTATAAGAATTCACGTATACGCATAATGTAACGGGGTGAGTCGTTACATAACAATTCACAAGAAATTCGTAATAGAATATAACTAAAAGAGTAAATTCTCAGAATATTGTCATAAGGACAAATATTCTGTAGCACTTACAAGTAGTTCCTGATTGGTTGAAATAGGCCGTTATATCAACCAACGAAGACGCGCCACGACAGACGCACGCAAGGAGTGGTGATCAGATAGTTGATTTACACATTTGTATTTAGGCATAGTTAGATGAAGATAAATAGTGATTTATTGCAGACATTAACTATGATAGACACAGTTCTACTTTTTGCTTAAACCAAGTACTCGCTTCTCCTTACCGTCTTCCTCTGCACGTACGAGTGTACGTGAAGTTACGAGGCACCGCCTTATTCTGTTATCAGAATAAGTAGCTTGTACTGTCACCAGTACAAGCTTCAGGGTGCCCCGTTACACCTGGTAGCACTTCGTAGTCCGTCCAAGGACCGCGTTCACATCCAACATGAATATGTTGGATGATGAAGATGACCAAAGCTTTCACGCTACGCGTGACGGCTACTCCCATTTGAGCGATGTCGAATGGGATGCGGTTGAACGAATGGGTTCGACCATGGGCATCCATGCTGTTAGCGTCATTCTAGAGGCTCTCAATAGAGATGCCCAACTTGCTACTATCGCCAAGTTCATTCAAAATGAACTTGACGCAGAACGCGAGAAAGTAGCCTTGCTTCACCAACAAGGTTCTCAACAAGCAGAGTTGTTGAGAGAACAAGGTGCTCAACAGTTTGAACTGTTGAGACAGCAGCAGGCTGCTGCTGGCGGGTCGATGCACTCGCGTCGACCCGAGACTTTGAAGATTGACATCTCAAAGTATAGGGGGGTCGAAGAAGACTCCCTCTTGAGATGGTTCGTCGAATTGGATGACGCCATAAGGGCGCGTCGCATCGACGACGGGGATATGCAAGTTGCATTTGCCCAGTCAAATCTGGCAGGACGTGCCAAGACTTGGGCACGGGGGCTCAAGCTGCACGACCCATATGCGTTTGGGTCGTTGGAAGTCTTCAAGTCGCGGCTCAGACAAACGTTTGAACCGCCTAGAGCTGAGTTCAGGGCTCGAACCGAACTCTTGAAGCTCAAGCAGGGTAAGCGTGATGTGCACGCTTACGCTCAACACATACGACATCTTACGAGTTGTATAAGTTCCAATCCAGTGGATGAACACACGTTGGTTTCGGTGTTCATGCAGGGTCTTGCGGATGGTCCCGTCAAGACTCACCTGTTCCGGCTTGAACTAGATTCACTAGAACAAGCCATTTCCATTGCGGAGCAGGAAGACTTCAGTCTGAGACAGGCTCGCGCCAGCTCGACATCATATCGTCAACCGAGACGATATGACAACGGAGGTCCAGAGCCGATGGAACTCTGTTATGTAGAGAGCGAGAAGGCTCGCTCTACAGACTACAAGAAGTTGCAGAATGCAACAGATGTCAAAAGACAGGACACTACGCTTACGAGTGTAGTGCCCCTCGTCCAGTGTCTCGCAACACTGGGCGTAGTGACCGTCCACCCATGAGAAAGAGGCAGGGACGCGGGTCCGCTGTTGGTGCAAAGACGCAACAACGGGATGGACCGTCAAAACAACGGACAGGATCAGTAGGTGCGGAGCACCCTACTGGTCCAGCAACGTCAAGAGAATTTGCAAGCCTCTCGTCGAAGGTTTCTCCCACCACACAGCCATTGTGCGTTGCTGCTCTAGGTAATGCAATCTCACTCATTCCCTTGAAACTCGAAGTGACGAATATGTTGTCCCTTCGAGCTCTAGTCGATTGTGGGGCGTCCAACAATTTTGTGTGACGCCAATGGCTAGAAGATAATCACTTCAATTTTGTTGAGTGTGACACACCTCTTACGAGGATGACGGTACGTCTTGCGACAGGCGCATCCGTAACCGTCACGAAGCGTATAGTGAAGATCCACCATACGCTAGAAGATACCCAGTATGACGATGATTTTATCGTATTGGACTTTGATGACAAATTTGATGTCATCCTTGGCTAACCGTGGCTCAGAAGGTACGTACCACGGGTAAACTGGCAACATCGAACAGTAACGATGCCTGCCGCTTGTTCATCAGATGGCCATCTGATGAACGTTTTGGAGCGTCCACAAGCGTGTGGATGTACTACGAGTGAGTGCGATGGCCTCACTTGTGGTACGGTCGTTAGTACGACTGCACAAAACCTTAGTGTACCAAACGGTTACACTTCGGAGCAAAGTTCCGGCGGCTGTGAGGAAACACAGGCTGCGCCGAAGGTCCACCACTCGAATAAGTCGAGTGGACCGGGACAAAGATGTATCCCTAGCGGGGAACATCTAGAAGAGAAACAATCGATCGCTCAGGTTAAGCGAAACGATAATCCTATATCGACTGGAGAGTCTTTCGTAGAGGATCTCGCTGTGGTTGCGCAACCTCAGCTAGAGTAAGTTAAGGGAATAAGTCCCAAGATTATAAATACGGCGGAAATAAGTTCCCCGAAACCCGCGGGAATAAGTCCCCGGGAAGCCGAAGGAACAAGTCCCCAGGAAATGACAGAGACATTGAATGTCATAGTCAACAACGGATCAAGTGTAGGCGCTTATACACTTGATCTGATTGCGCCTCCGGAGTTGACTTCGGATATCACTCAGTTGCCAACGCTCGAACATAAAAGGTTCTTGCGTGATCTGCGTAGTGGCAAAGTCAAGCAGATCTGCGTACTCGTCGCTGACGACGAGTGTGTAGCCGACATAAGGTCAGCAACAGTGTTCACTGAGAACGAGAGAGTTTTCAGTAGTTCATCAATGGACGAGAGTGTCCTAGATGAAAAGACACGAATTGAGCGATATGACTCCCAATCGTGGAAATCACTCAAGACAAATCCTCTCTATAAAGATTTGGTTGAATTAAAGGATGTATTCCCTGAAACTGTTCCATGCGAATTACCGAAGGATAAAGGTACTCGACACGAGGTCGAGCTTAAACTAGGCTCGAAGTACTGTGTCATGAAGCAGTGGCTGCTGACTAGTGAACAGGTTGCAGCGATCGACAAGTTCTTTGCCGATCGTTTAGCTGCGGGCCATGTGAGGGAATCAACTTCCCCACATAGCTCTCCGACCTTCTGTGTGCGAAAAGCAACAGGAGGGTGGCGGATAGTGCATGCATTTAACAAGTTGAATGCTGCAACGGTACCGGCTCAGACGCCGATACCAAGGAAGGACGTAATCATTGGTGGTATGTCAAAGAGTACCATCTTTTCGTCCATGGATTTGATGGATGGCTTCTATCAAATCCTTATGCGAGAACGGGATATACCCTATACCGCAGTGAGCACGCCTAGCGGCATGCTCTGGGAATGCCTAGTAATGCCACAAGGGCTTAGTAATGCCCCCGCCACGTTCAACAGATGTGTATCACATCTGTTAAGACCAGTGCGAGAATTTGCACCGAGTTATTTCGACGACGTATTCATCCGTAGTCGGGCTATGGATGGAAAGTCGGACGTTGAGGTTCACAGGTACCACGTCCGACAGGTTCTTACAATCATGCGAAAGCATCAATTGTATGCCAATCTCAAGAAGCGTATTTTTGCAGCGAACGAAATACCACTTCTTGGGTGCATCTTTGGTAAGAACGATGTACTTCCTGATCCCGAAAAGATCAAGGCGATCACCGACTGGCCTGTGCCGGTTGATGTCAAAGGTCTTCAAAAATTCCTTGGGCCAGCGGCGTATTTGCACAAGTGTTCACGCAATTACGCCGAGATGACTGTGCACCTCTCTCGTTTGTTGAAAAAGAACGAGAGGTGTTTATGGAACGCTGAATCTCAGCGCTCCTTTGATGGTATCAAGCAGAGCTTGATACAATCCCCAGTCCTAGCAATTGCCGATCAGGACAGGCCATTTCATGTGGTCTGTGATGCCAGCGATTTCGCAATCGGCTGTGCATTAATGTAGTACGACCTAGAATGCGTTGAACGCGTCTTCTGCTATTAGTCGCGTCAGCTGCAACCAGCTGAGCGGAACTATCCAGTGCATGACAAGGAACTCCTTGCCATGAAGTATGCACTCGAGAAGTTCAGAGTCTATCTATTAGGAGATAGACCCTTCATTGTTTACACTGACTATGCGTCATTACGCACGGCAGTGAACAGCCCGCACCTTTCATAACGAATGGCGCGGTGGTTGTCATTCTTTGCGGAATACAACTTTACGGTCGAGTACAAACCAGGACGACTTAATGTCGTTGCTGATGCACTCTCACGTCGTCCCGACTTTGAACCAGTCGTGAAACCCAACAGTGAGACAGTCACAGTTGCGGTTATGACGTCCTCAGTCCCATCTACAACGTTGTATGATGATGTGAGGCGGGCATACGCCCAAGATGGTGAGATTGTGAAGTTGTTGACACATCTCTCCCAACCATCTCGAGAATCGTTGAATCGATTGTCGTCTGCGTATCGATCTGCATCAGATCGATACACTACTCGCAACGGGTTACTGTACTATACAGCCGTTTCTGGTGACACACCACGTGTTGTCATCCCAGATGATACTGATCTGCGTTTGCGGATCATGTTCGAGTATCACGTTGCTCCTATAGGAGGACATCGTGGCCGAGAGAAAACATACCTCACGGTGAGTCGAGACTTTTACTAGCCCCGCCAGTATCAGTTTGTTCGAATGTATGTTCGCGCATGCGAAGTCTGTCAACGAGTGAAGTCAAGTCCTTCACTACGTGCACCTTTACAGCCTCTACCGGTTCCGGCTGAGTGCTGGGAATCCATCTCAATGGATTTCGTCTTCGGGTTACCCAAAGACGCACGCGGGAATACGGGTATTTTTGTATTTGTTGACAGATTCAGCAAAATGGTACATCTTGTGGCTGTACCAGAGACAATCACGGCAAGTGGCTGTGCTTGTGTCTTTAGTGACACCATCTTCCGACTTCATGGGTTGCCCCGTGAACTCGTATCAGACATAAATCCACGATTCAGTGCTGATTTCTGGCGTTCCGTATTCAAATCACTCGGAACGCGCTTGAAGATGTCGACATCTGATCATCCAGAGTCAGATGGTCAGACGGAACGTGCCAATCGTGTCGTCGAAGAGATACTTCGAGGATACGTACACTCCTTTAAGAGTTGGAGTGCGTTCTTGCCAATGGTAGAGTTTGCCATTAACAACTCGGTGCATGCGTCCACGACACGTACACAGTTTTACGTGAATGGCTTGCGCCATCCGCGTGTACACACCCTACTAAAGTTTAACTCTGGTTTAAGGGGGGGGAGGGACTCGCGCGAGCAAAACCCGATTTGGTTCACGCTCATCACGCTCTGACGAAGAAGTCATTGCGTTTGATGCCGATATCGATAGCATCGATATCGAAGAAGATGATGCCAGTGAGAGTGCGGAAGCCCTCACTGAAGTAAAGGTTGATGTTGCTGCAGTGCGCTCACAGCGCACTGAAGCTAACGAGTCATCAGATGAGTTCATACTGGCTCGTGAAACGGTAGTCCGTTTTGTGCAAGACTCCATCGCCGAAGCGGTGGATAAGCAAAAGCAAATAGCTGACAAGAATGGAAGGGCAAACACTCTTTTATTTAATAAAGGTGACTTAGTCCTACTGTCTACGGTTAATCTACCAAAGCATGTAGTGACTAACTTGGGTAGCAGTAAACTACTACCCAAGTACATCGGCCCATTTCGTGTATTGCACCGCCTAGGCAATGCATACACGATCGAGTTACCACGTAAGATGCGAACGCATCCCACGTTTCACGTTGGTCGGCTGAAGCCGTACCACCAGTCCGCTGCTTCTTCCGATGAAGAACGCCCTTGCGCTCAAGCATATTACAAAGAGCCTTGTGCTCCCGATGATGGACATCGACAAGGGTCTGAAGAGCAGCTATCTCATCCCGAGACCGATCAACAATCCCACGAACTACCCTTAGCTCGTCACGAAGAGATGACAGAGATCTCTCGTTCTCAAGCTGAGCAAAGGCAAACTCAGCTCGATGCTTCGAGGCAGTGTCCGCCATCTGGAGACGCCTATTCCGCTCACGCTCGAGATTGTCGCGTAACCCTTGCGTTACGCGATCAAAGAAGCTCTCGGGAATACACGAATTCCCATGATCGTGTGGAGAGCGTCTTTCCTCCTCCTCCACCTCCATTAGAGGACTCTCGCGGTGGCCAGCGCTATCTAGTTGAGCAGCTGTTGAACCACCGCGATGTGAACGGACGTCGGACGAGTTACCTCGTCCGGTGGCGCGGTTATCCCCCGTCCTGGGATACTTGGGAGCCCCGCTCCCAACTGATGGTTGACGTACTGGGTCTGGTTGAGCAGTACGACGCGGCACATCCTGTGCCGCAGAAGGACCGCCGGAGAAAGTCTTCCCGGCACGGTCGTAAAGGGATTTCAGGTTGTCAATCCCTTCGTACATCTCAGTAGAGATACGTACGCGCCACCACGGGCTATTAGGGAGGTAAGCCTCCTTAGGTGCGCGCGCAGGGTTTTCACACAACAAGGGCACGGGTCTCCCCAGGAGAGACATGGCAATCCTTTCTCCCTAGACAGACGATGCAGCTTGTAGCGTGCACCAGTCGGGGTTCTCTTTTCAAACTTATCACGAGCTTTGATAAGTTTGTCATTCCAAACGTCACGACCTACGTTTTCAAGGTTATGGATGTAAGCGTTCCACGCTTGAAGCAGCGAGGGACCATCACGTTTGTGATTCCCACTCTACCATCGATGTCTAAACAGAGCATCGATGAAGGAATCATTCTCAGCGCGATAGTTTTTCGCACTGGGGTCAAGGTAATGGATCCTTGATGAATCGAACAATCGTGTTCGATAGCGATCACTTGTCGTCGCCGACAAGCGATCCATGACCGAATTTGGAGGCAGCCATGCTTTCTTTTCAGGAGCGAGACGCAACACACTGCGGTTCCGCTCTTCCTGCGACGTGCCGACAGAAGGACTGGTACCTCGTTGCGAAGTGGTGTCAATAGGAGAACCGACACCACTGTGAGCGCCCGAGTCTTGCGACCTCGAGCGCCTTCGCTTCGGCGATGGTTCATCTGACTCATCAGATGAACCAAAGATGCTGCGACGCAAAGCATCGTCCATGCCACGCTTGGCAGGCGGCTTAGATTCAATCGCCGTCGATACGGATCCGTCTTCCGTATCAGGAGAGTATGAGACTCCGAGCTCATACTCTGTGAAGACATGAGTGTCTTCATGACCAGCGCCTGCATCACCAAGTGACACAGACTGAGTCGCTTCAGCAACCGATGAGACATCAGTTGCTGTTGTTTCTGCTTCGGCGTCCGCACAGAGACGTGCGGACGCGCTCTCGGAGGCCTTGCTCGCGCATCGCATGGGCTTGTTAACCATGCGATGAGATGTTGGAAAGTGGACGCAGACCAACAAGTGCAAACCCTGTCCCAAATGATTTAGGACGAGTATCCATTTAGTCAATCAGTCACTAAAGTGACTGATGGTTAAGGGGGGGGTGATGTAACGGGGTGAATCGTTACATAACAATTTATAAGAAATTGTTAATAGAATATAACTATAAGAGTTATATTCTCAGAATATTGTCATAAGGATAAATATTCTGCAGCACTTACGAGTATTTCCTGATTGGTTGATATAGGCCATTATATCAACCAACGAAGACGCGCCACGACAGACGCACGCAATGAGTGGTGAGCAGATAACTGATTTGCACATTTGAATTTAGATAAAGTCAGATGAGGAAAAATAGTGATTTATTGCAGACATTAACTATCATAAATACAGTTCTACTTTTTACTTTAACCAAGTGCTCGCTTCTTCTTACCGTCTTCCTCTGCACGTACGAGTGTACTTGAAATTACGAGGCACCGCCATATTCTGTCATCAGAATAAGTATCTTGTGCTGTCATCAGTACGAGCTTGAGGATGCCCCGTTACAGATCCGGTCCTGTACACTACAATGAAATTATACGCTGCAATTTTAGTTGATCACCTTTTCTCCTGCTACAATTGTAAGTACAAACAACAGAATCTGCTGCATTATTAGATCAAAAATTTAACAGATGTGTTACGAATCTGTTGCGATCGGTGCGCTATTTCGCACTGAGTTGCTTCGACGATGTCTTCGTCTATAGCCGGGCTATGGATGGAAAGACGGACGTGGAGGTTCATAGAATCCACGTCCGGAAGATTCTTACACTAATGCGAGAGCAAAAGTTGTTCGCGAACCTCAATAAGTGTATATTCGCAGCGAACAAAATACCAATTCTTGGCTATATGATGGGTGGTAAAAATATCGGTAAAACGATCCTTACGCTGCCACTTGTGGGTACAAATGTAATTGTCCGGGGACCCTGTCTTGTAACTTGTACCTATAAGTGCACTTGTACATGGTTTTCTTGCTAGCATTTGTATGCATGTATTAAAACTACTATGTTTAGCTTTTCCGATGCGTAACCGTTTAGAGTCACACACTCCCTCTAGCTTTTACATAACTCTACACACATCTCACTTGTATTGCATCATACGAGCTGTAGCCGAATGCGGCACGTCTTTTTGTACCATTCTTTCGACTATAAACTGACGTTTTCGAACAGCAAAGTTTATGCTGGTCATGAACCTACCTCTAACGCGCAAGAAGTTGGCGCATGAGCGTGACGGACGCGTCTCGCAGCCACAGGAAGCAACTTCCCGTCTAATAGAAACCACCATGTTGGACAGATTTTAAGGTTTGAGGAATACACCACATTACGGCCTCACCTGATTGGCCAGTGTTCAGATCAGGTGACATGTGGGACCACGACAAGGCGATCTGGCAGGTGGGACAGGGAGAGACTCGTCAAGGACTTGACGGATGGGTCAGCGAGGTGGCTATCTGACCACTAGGACAAAAGACACGGTTGCAACGTGTAATGACCGAATTAGATGAGAAGGAAGGACGAATGTTCCCGGACAGATACGTGGTCAAGTTACAGTGCAGTTCAGGGGCATGTTGTAGTGGCAAATGAAACTAGAGAACGACAAAAATTTTACTTTTACTTCAAACTGAAGCTGCGCAAGTGCATAACAAGACGCATCATGAATTATAATTGACAGCTTCTGCACTACTGGCAAGAGAAGAGCACTTGTCTCATCGTTTCTCTGTATTGTAGTTATGGAATAATACCGACAGCTTCTGCACTACTAGCAAGAGAAGAGCACTTGTCTCATCGTTTCTCTGTATAGTAGTTTCAAGTATACGGAAAATAAGAGAGCCATCATCTTGGGTGAGGAGCCACGTACAACTAGCAGACTCGTATGAGACACTGGCGTTAAGAAGTAAATAAGCGGACTTGAGATATATACTGCAGCCTGTCATCATAAGTAGATTTTAAAAGATACGTCTGCGTCTCTCTCTATCGACAGCTTTTGCATGAACATGACCGTCCATAGTGATAGGTCTTCAAAAAGTGCTCACCACATTCAGCGAAGAAACGGTCGCTGCTTTAGAAAGAGGTCGACGCGTTGCTGACTTCCCAAAAACAAACCTTCGTCCTCATCGCTCTTATGCGTATACGTGAATTCTTATACCTACTCTCCTCGAGTCGATCGAGCGACTCTTCGTTACTCTAATCCATCGTGGCGGTCGCAATACGAACGCCTGATCGAATGTCGAGAAATGTGACGGTTTATTTTCTGCAATGCGCGATAAGCGCCTGTAAACAGAATGAACCCAAAGATTCGCTTTCATGTGAAGCTTCAACACAAGTGTTGTGGATAAAGACGCGTGTGTGCCTTGTGATGGTAAATCCAGTAAATGAGATGGTATCGTGAGGCCTAAATCAAAAATCATTGCACATATAGCTGACGTGAACCGCTTTATCAGGCCAAAAATATTCTTGCACCGTCGTGGAAACAACTACTCACACCTGTGTAAAACCCGTCTTGTCGACTGCAATCCACACTTGACAAGGTCGTTCATCCTCCCCATTTTTCACTTTCGACCTGATAGATGATGAAGGCAACGTTAACGCTTCGACCGAGGTGCTAATGCATGACACTACCGCGGCAATCTGCAGCTATTAGTGAGAGGCTCATAATGCATATTTTAGCTGTTTAATACTTATCAGATGTCTAATTGTGTGGTAACTACTTCGTGACATCTACCATTACACCGTCTTACGACTCCTAGATCTTAAATTCTGCCGGCTCATGACGTTGGGAATCACGGCAGGCAATCCCAAAAGGGCCCGTGAAAACCGTTCGTTGACCAAGTCGAGGTTTTGATTCTATTGTGCATTCTACCGTATGGCGAGACTGCTCTCGCGCTTGGAGAAATAAAATTCAGGAGACTCCAGATGTAGCGGAGCTACAGCTCGTTAAGTCAGAGGAAACTTATTTAACAAGCCAACGTCTTACGGCTGACAGCCTACTAGTTCTACGGAACTAACAGATCAAGTTAAAGAGTCACCCAGTTCTACGGAACTCGGGTGGACTCTATGAGCTAACACCTCAACTACTGTGTAGTTCTAGAGAACCACAAGCACAACGTGCAGGGGGATAGGAGTCTAAGGACTCTCTAAGCTACGGTAGTTCTAAAGAAATGCAGGGCACAATGTGTGGAAGGGGGGGTCTAGGGACTTCTGCTCAAAATGAGAACTGAACTTTATTTAGATTTTTTATCCGACAAAATCCTACTTTAAGTACCCTAGATTTTACTAAACTAGAACTAATACAAATACTAGTATTCAAACTAAATGGATGGTCGGCACATCACTCAGTCACCAAATGATGACGGTACAAAGTACGTACACGGTAAGTACCGTAAACCTGGAAAAATCGATCGTTCGATATTCTCTTGCTGATATAAAATCTAAGGTCACACACATCCATCCATATCATTTATGGGAGGTCTTTGACCAATTTAGCCAATGGCTAGTGTGACCCCATTACACTTATACACTTGCTGCTCAACACAGCCACTAATCCTGTGCTTTGATGTTACTGCTATGATCTGTCGCAATTCATCGCGTGTCAGGTGCCTTACAGGAACATCAGTAGTCTTAAAATATTCTTGCCATGTCTTCTCCTTCAAAGGATGTGTTATCAGCTTTGATAGCACTTCTGGACGGTGAATAAGCAATTTCGCTCTCTATGCTGCTCATTCCTGCCCCATAATTGTAGATGAATTCAATTCTTATTATCTATTAGTGGGAACGATAGAGGGATAAGACCATCATTTCATCGTCATTTTGCTATTAGTTCATCATCTTGTATTTGAGGTGTACGCAGAAGACCAGAGGCGGTGAAAAGTCAGCTGCATTTTGAACGGTCTACATTCATTAGTTAAGGGTAATAAATTATTGATGGTCGAGTGTTATCGTGCAGCTGTATTATTTTATCCGATCAAAAGACTTGATATTTTCTTGTTTAAGCGTTGAGCGTAACATCAAGTGCACTGATCCGGTCGTGTACACTAAAGTGAAATTATACGCTGCAATTTTAGTTGATCACCTTTTCTCCTGCTACAATTGTAAGTACAAACAACAGAATCTGCTGCATTATTAGATCAAAAATTTAACAGATGTGTTACGAATCTGTTGCGATCGGTGCGCTATTTCGCACTGAGTTGCTTCGACGATGTCTTCGTCCATAGCCGGGCTATGGATGGAAAGACGGACGTGGAGGTTCATAGAATCCACGTCCGAAAGATTCTTACGCTAATGCGAGAGCATAAGTTGTTCGCGAACCTCAATAAGTGTATATTCGCAGCGAGCAAAATACCAATTCTTGGCTATATGATGGGTGGTAAAAATATTGGTAAAACGATCCTTACGCTGCCACTTGTGGGTACAAATGTAATTGTCCGGGGACCCTGTCTTGTAACTTGTACCTATAAGTGCACTTGTACATGGTTTTCTTGCTAGCATTTGTATGCATGTATTAAAACTACTATGTTTAGCTTTTCCGATGCGTAACCGTTTAGAGTCACACACTCCCTCTAGCTTCTACATAACTCTACACACATCTCACTTGTATTGCATCATACGAGCTGTAGCCGAATGCGGCACGTCTTTTTGTACCATTCTTTCGACTATAAACTGACGTTTTCGAACAGCAAAGTTTATGCTGGTCATGAACCTACCTCTAACGCGCAAGAAGTTGGCGCATGAGCGTGACGGACGCGTCTCGCAGCCACAGGAAGCAACTTCCCGTCTAATAGAAACCACCATGTTGGACAGATTTTAAGGTTTGAGGAATACACCACATTACGGCCTCACCTGATTGGCCAGTGTTCAGATCAGGTGACATGTGGGACCACGACAAGGCGATCTGGCAGGTGGGACAGGGGAGAGACTCGTCAAGGACTTGACGGATGGGTC